TGGTCTGAGTTGGGAGCAATATCAGTCTCAGAAAATGGTAGCGTTTCTCTAGTATAGTTTTCAGGCTTCAGACGACGCTGTTTCTGTGTGCTTAGTTCTTATACTGTTATAGCAACTGGAAATGGATGATAGATTCACAACCAAGAAAACTGTATGGAATTCGTAAGTTGGTATTTTTTTGGTCTGGTGAAACGAGACCAGCCCCAGACTCGACGTTTCCAGAAGTTCTATTTTGTCTTGGGTGAAAGATGTGCTTGATTGGGGTCTTCTGAAAGTAGGACCATTCAGTCTAGCCGTAGCTATTTTTGCAAATTAGCACATTTGAATTAAATATCTAATGAATGATTGCTATCTCAATGTGTCCTTCGTATTAATCACTTCTTATAAATAATGTACAGTATTCATTAGTGAATTTTAGCATCATGACCCATTCAAAATGCTATGTGGCCATAAAATTCACTTGGTACCAAGCGTATCTTAGATCAATCTCTTGATTGGGTTAACAAATTTTCTTTTCGTAATAGAAAAAAGTGAAATAATTTCGGTCTGAAGTTTTCTAAGCAAATCTACACGACAGCTGGTTAAACCGAAAGTAGAACCCGGAGCGTGAACTTGATTATTAGACGGACAGATTAATTTGTAAATCATTACTATCCCCCAGAACAAAATATTGCCATCCAACAAACACCAGAACGATCCAGTCCTCTGAAGTCACGTTACTGGTAATTTCACAGCTATAGTGCCCCGCGTACATATAATTTTCTTGTTATCAAGAATGACTGAATTACGGAGAGGGGACAATTTGGCGGAAAATTGCACAGATACTTTATCATTGTAAAACGGTCAGCCTGAAAATGGTTCTTTGAACTTGACTGAACAAAGAGATTTTCAAGAAATGGAACATTTATCCTTGATTAGATTATTCATAATTAGTTCTCAATAGCAAATTGCAGAGACAATAAGACTGACTTTTACTTTGTGAATAGTCCTGTATGATTATGTATAAAGTTACTTGCGCTGATTGTAATAGATAATTCTTCTCGCTGCATCATTACATAACCTCTATATAGTATATCGCATAACTGTGTAAAGCATGTGCCCGGCTTTTTACGATATATGATAGCAAGCAGATGTCGCGGTTTCCGGCCGGGTGATAGAATAGCACTGATTACATCACCTCTACTATAGATATATTACATGGCCGTAAAAATCACGATCACAGTACTTTTGAAAATTCATTCAACTTTGAAATTGACAGTCATTAACTGACGAGGATTGTAGACGTACTTTATTGTGTGTCTTAGTGACACTGTAATTCCTATCCTCGGACGAAGTTATAGTCCGATTCGATATCGACGTTTTTCTGTGAAAAATGATGACCCCGCTGAGCACTCACACCTCACGGCGCGAGATCCGCCTCCGGGGATCGAAGGTGTCAAATCCCGGCGGAATTCGCGAGATTTCCTTCGAAGTAGTCATACTTGATCCAATATAAGGTATATTCTTACATATACAGCAAATTATTGTGTTTTGAATGCTTTTGTCATTTGAATAATATATTTCAACATAAACTTATTTAGTTTTATTTCAATAGTAGACTTAATAGCTTCTAGAGTATTAGGAAATTAGCGACTTCTTAAAATTCATCTTTTACTATCAATTTTCTGTAAGGGTTTGGAAATGTTTTTTTAAAGTTAAATTGAAAGAAAGTTGATTCAAGTTGTTGTTATATGTAAGAAATTACAATATGTACAGGTATATAGTTTTGATGATCACTTACAGTAAATCGCAGTTCGCTCAAGTGATTTCAGTACACAATGAATTTGAAATTTACTTAAACCATTTAGTTTCCGTATATCCAGATTTCGATAATCAGGAATTGATATTAAAAATAATCTTAAATGATATTAAATCTACCAGATTGTCTTATTATGGTATCGCAGGTATCCGTTAAGATGCGTTGTGTTCGTTGTTCAAAGGATTTTTTTGTATCTATTCTTTATAGCTCTTGATCACTCACAAAGCTTCAAAATTTTACACAAAAAATCTTATATTTTCCTTTTTAAAGTTCGTCAAATAATTAAAACTTTCTAGATCTGTATTTCACTCTATTTATCCATAATCTATACCGACAGTAGAAAAGGCAGTAAATCGAACGCAAATCAAACAAATATTTACATTACAGAACACCTGACCAAGTTAAATCAACAATTGGACATTGGAAAGGAAATCCGATTGTCTCAGCATCTTAAAAGAAAATAGTAAATAATTGGCATGCATAATTCGATCCCTGTCCTGATAACGGTAATTGGCAGATTCGGTGGAGATAACGCGAGATAGGGAAACATTCAGATCTGAAGTCATTAACGTTGGAAAATATTACGTTAAAACATGAATATTTTAACAGCTTATACATTAGAGCAACATTTCAAGGACATGTCTTCAAAACTTATCGAAAAGATGTTAATATGCTGAAATATGTGCAAGTGTATTTATAATGTATTTAGTTCAATTATTCGGAATAATAAAAATTAAATATTTATTAATTGAAAGCATCTTTAAAAGGAGGATTTTATTAAAATAGTAGTTATAAAAGTTAAATTTCATTGATTAAAAAAAAATAACATCATTTAAACTTAAAATGAGTCGTTTCAGAAATTTTATATCAAATTTACAATGAATATGTTATCATAGAGTAACTCTCTGTGTTTCAGTTTTTTGTAGAAAGAATCGATTAAATATTTCAATTTCAAACATTTCAATAAAATTGCTCCTGATACATGATAAATTTTCGAATTCAAATTAGCATGTTTATGAATAATTTCTATATTTCAATTTGATGCAATATATATATATATATATATATATATATATATATATATATATATATATATATATATATATATATATATATATATATATGTATATATATATATATATATATATATATATATATATATATATATATATATATATATATATATATATATATATATATATATATATATATATATAAAGATTTAAAGGAATACCTATGTGAACAGACAGTATAATTGCCCTAAAATTTTTAAAGTTTGCCATATCACACGCTTCTACTAAAAGGCTATGTTTTTGAATCAGTCTGTCACATTTTGATTTATTTATTCTTCCAATAGGATTAAACCCCCAAAATCAACACTTTCCTAAAAATTCCGTTAAAGAGAAGAGAGAAAGAATGATTTGATTAGGGGAGATTAATCGCCACGTAACTACCTCTTCACTCAACACTGATGTTTACTTAAGGTTCTCTAATTGGTTTGAACTTTTACAATTATAATGCGTTTAAGCCCGGGAGAAATTTATCCAGAAATTATCGCACTTTGCAGGCAAATTTCACAAGCGTGAACGAACGCTATGAAACGATATCACGGATGTAAACCTGACCCCCGGGTAAAGATCGCACCCTTATCCTCAAAACGTGTTAAAATTTAAATCACTGTGTTGTTAAATTTATTTCTGTTCTGTGACATTCTTGTCTCTATCTTGACTGTTGACAAAGTCTTCCGTTTCAAATTTTGCAAATAAATTGATCTTAAATACTTTTCATCAATATATTTTTATTTTTTTTTTCTTTTTTAAATTGAATTACAGTATTTATCATAATGAAATATCAGTCTGGAAAATTGCGAAAAAAAAATATGCTTTTAAATGATTAAAATTTTTTTTAAGTTTTTCTATAACGACTGGAACATGAAGTCAATGATACAATTTTCAGCGAAATATACATGATATAGGGAAGATATTTGCATATGAAATCTAGTAACATACCGAATAATTGCAATTACCCTTTTAATTAAAAGCTGATGACTATCCGCTCTAAGAATCTACAATACTGGTAGTTCTATTGATGATCCCTAAGATCCAATCTGGAGATGCTACAGATACCGGAATGACCTTCAAAACTCTTTAATCATAGGATGGTAACGATGTGTGAGAGGTATATACGATAATCAATTAGGTGATCGATCAAGGGGAGAGATCACTAGAAATGAAAGTTTATAATTTTGACACATTTTTGTGAAATCTTGTCTTTTGAATTAGGAATCAGAAGATTCCCTTGCATCTTTGAGCATGCGCAGTGTCGTGAATTCTCCACAAGTCTACGATTCACTGGTAGGATTTTGTAATAAAAATAGTTCTAATACATTTTATTATTAATCTATGATTAAGAAAAAATTATCTCTATATTTTCTATAATTCAAATTTTTTGTGAAATTCTTCATAAATAAAAAATGGAAAATAGATATTAAAAAAATAAATAAATAACATAAACATTCCAGAATACCAATTTTGAAATCTATATTAAATTTATTGTTATGTGTAATACAAGTATTCGATATGAATTACATTACAAAGTCTTCTACGGATTTTCTCTTCCAAATATACATAGAGAAATTTAAAACTTTGTATATTGAATGAAAAATTCTAAAAGCAAACAAATTGAACCCACTTGAAATCTACTTGTAGTCGATAAAGTCGGTACACAGAAATCAAACCAAAGGCCGAGAAGAATCAATATTGATGTCCATAATCCCACTAAGCCCCACCTGCAGCTGTGTTGTTCCGATTTCAGAATTAAGGGTTTTGTGATTTTTTTTTTGACTGATTTCTGAAGCCAAAATAGAAAGGTTGGAATAAATACAAATTTTTAAGAGGTTAATCTACTAGATCGGAAAACCGTAGATAGTTTCAAGTCCATAATCTTTTTTGGAAGAATAGTGCACAATCATATTTTTGTTACACTTTGGTGAAAATTTGCCAATTTCTTTTTCCTTTAAGCACACTTTATAAATTTTGGATATAAATATATACACAATTCGTGAAAGCCAACGATAAACCGTTATCGGAGCAACACTCAACGCCCATATATCGGTTATGAGCAATGAAGCTGAGAGAAAATGCTTGATTGACGCGTAGGCCCCGCCCACTTGAAATTTTTCGAACGTGTATAACATGAATGTTATTACAAGTTTTACATCAATAACAATCGGAATTGGAAATCCCTTCCAGTGAAGACAGCTTTCTTCAGTAAAAGCTGCTTGGAAAAAAAGATATACGTTTGTTCTGAAGTGTCAATGAAGTTTTCGATGTGTTTGAATGCGGAAAGCGTCTGATGGTTCCACTAGGCACTGGCACTTTCATAAATTGTATACATTTTCTTCAAGGAAGGAAGCAAAGGTACCCCATCTTTGCCGGCGGCTGTAGCGAATTTATTAATAATGTGCTACTCTCTGAAGTGATGGTCGGTTATCTGGAAATACAAACATTTGGAAAAACAACATAAATCACAATCTGTTTAAACATAGATTTTTTATTCTCGATCCATAATTTGAAATATTCCCGTCATGCGTGAGTGGCTGAGTACATGCTAGCCATAAATTCAGTCTGGCTGGATTTGCATATGGATATTAACTTATGAAATTCATCATTTTACGATATTAATTCATTAAATATTACAATAATAATTGATAATATTTTGCGAACTGTTATCACCTAAAATTAAACCTGGCGATTGGAGGACATAGCACTATGGTGCAGTGCGCCGCATGTGACCGACCAATTCTGGACCGATTCCTCCTGAACGTGTTGGACAGGGCATGGCATGCTAAGTGTGTACAATGCTCGGACTGTAAAATAACTCTTACGGACAAATGTTTTTCTAGGGATGGAAAACTGTATTGTCGAAACGATTTCTTCAGGTAAGATATCGCCGCTAAACGCTCTGAAAACAATCTGTGACCCTCCCAAGAAGACAAAATTCAATCACGATTTTTTTCTTTATAATTGCTCTTTTAATAGTGGTTCTCAAGTTTAAACCATATTTTATTATCGATAAATGAAAAAAGTATATGGGACTAAGTAAATAATGAATGATTATTTCCTTTGTAAAGAAACGATTGTTTAATGTCATTTGAATTAAATAGATTTTTCAATATCTGAAGTGAGAAGTTTTTTTTTTCACTTACTGTGTAGTCTTCATGAAATACGATATCAATTATGCTTCCCAATCAATATTTCATTATGCAATTAATAAACACAGTTTTATCAAATTCAACAAGGCGCACCTGTACATTGGTTAGCATATCAAACAAAAAACATCTTATTAAATTATCCCATGTACTAAAAACCTTAATGTTTTATTCAAATACGCGGTGAACGTGCATTTTTTTCCCCAAGTCTCAAGAATATTATAATAAACTTGTCAATAATTCGATAAAAATAGAATAAGGTTAACACGTGGATATAAATATATACACCAAATTGACAGTAAAGAAATGTCACAGAAATATTCATGAGCTCTTTTACTTTCAAATTCTAAATCTAAAGATAAAATTATACATGATGTATGGATTCCTTCAAATAAGAAATTCAAGATATGTATTATTAATTCGTTAGTACCTGATGCTTTCTTTTTCAGAAGAATTTTGTCAGTTTAGTGGTAAAGAACAAACAGGAAAATAATGCATTATTATAAATTAACCTCGTATCCTATGGAGAATATCTTTAAATAAAAAGTCAATAAATTTTCAAATACAATTTAAAAAATATATAAATACATAAACAAAACATAAGATTTTATTTATCTTTTATTTTTATTGTACACCGTTCCATTTTTTTTTATTTTGTAGATGTTATATATACAGGTATAAAAAGAAGGGGTAGATGTTTCATATATACAGTGTAATACCAACAGGGAATCGTGTTTTTCCAGCTAGAATATAACAAAACAATTGTTATTCTCAAGTGAAATGCTTTCTTTTTTCAAACACACTTATTTAATTATTTATACTATTTTCATCTTAGTGCGAGTCCGGTTTTTTAAATATTGATTATTTTTAATTAAAAAAGAAAAAAAACAACAACAATGTTCTCGAATTAATAATTTTAAGACAATATGGGAAAATATATCAATTAGATAGAATAAAATATTTTTTTTAATTATTAAGCAAAAGACAAGATTTATTTTTCTTCTTGATATAACAATTTGTTTTCATTTTTTCAGGCGGTTTGGGACCAAATGTGCTGGGTGTACACAAGGAATCTCCCCGAATGACTTGGTCAGAAGAGCAAGGAACAAAGTTTTCCATCTGAAATGTTTCACATGTATAATTTGTCGAAAACAGCTTTCTACTGGAGAGGAACTCTATGTCATGGATGAAAATAGATTTATTTGTAAAGAAGACTATATTTCAAGCAAACTACAAGGTAAGAATACTACTGAATTATATTATCTCTCACTCAGTTTCTACTTATTAGCAAAATCAAAATTAAAATTATTATTATTATATCAGCATGTACTGCTGGTACATATCATTTGAACCCCCACCGTGGGCTCACGTGTGGTATTAATTGAATTTAATAGCCTCTGATAGTTTTCACTAACTGCTAACATATTTTGTATTTTATGGACTGTGTTCATGTATGTATTGTGCGTATATCGGCAGATAAGTAAGTGTTCCCTGCGGGTACCGTTTTCTAAACATTTCCTATATTTTTGGACATGTTGTCACCCAATTAAAACGGACGAAAATGATTTTATCTGTCCTTCTTTCGCTAACTGTCACTTAGATTTCTCTCCAATCACCACTTGAAATCAAAGGCAGACATGTTTGGACATCGATCCCGACACATCACCAATCAGCAGAAGCATAACGAGTTCGAACTTCTTTCCATACATTTTTCATGAGTAATGTCTCTTGCATAATTCTCACTAATCCACACGAAAACGTAAATGATGTGGAACTAAAACACATCCCAAATTTATGAAACACAATGAATTAATAATTAATCGACAGTAAAAGCGGGCTATCTATTAAGAGTAACATCAAGATCGCTTCCCCATCGCGGATAATAATTAGCGGCAATTTGTCCTCTCGTGGACACTTTACGGCCCTGAGTCATTGTCCGAACGTTATCTACAATGTATCTACACAGTTCAGATTTGTTCCGTGTACTGGACCACTGAACGTCTCGCGCTACCCCTAGACTCGTACAAGACGAAAATTATTTACAATTTCTTTCTGTTTCTCTGTCCGTATTGTAAAGTCTGTCAATATATTAATTCTCAACCTTTCTTTCAAATGAATGTTGATTCATACAAATTCTCGGTGAAATGTAAATATCATATTTATGTCAATGTTTGTCTACTTAGCAAAAAAAAAAAAAAAATGTCGCAGCCGACGTACCCCCGTTTTTCTAAACGACCCAAATAGAACAACATACGTTTGTATCGGTTTTGCATTTTCGGGCTGACATTAGCACTTTGTAAACGTCTGACTACATTTCGCCTTCGTGAAGTCTGAGCGCCATTTGATACAGTTAAAATGGGATATGGTAGCCATCTAAGTTAGGAGCTTGGGCGTCTAGAAAACTTCTTTTTCCAACTTTTCGACATATTTCCTTGACATGAGCCAACTGCCTGCTCACTCTATTTTCCTAATTATTTTTAACTTTTCGCACTATTTAACAAATCTTTCCACCTTTCACCTCTTTATGTCCGGATTCCTGTGTTGAAGTCGAAGAAACACAAATTAGTTCGTACTTGCCCGATTACGGATGAAAAATTATTCTTGTATTAGCATAAAGGTTAGAATTGTCAGACGTTAGGTACAATGCATGTTATAACTGATACATTTCAATTCATGGTGAAACTGTGCGATCTTTTATTTATTTATGTGCTTTTAAAGTACTTAACTTCTCAAATTGTCGGTCGCAACCGAATAAATGGCCTCAAATTTCATGTAAATTAGACAGAATATATTTTTCTTATTTAAAATAAATCAAAGATTTGAGTTAACTTGATAATGCAGAACGAGATAGTTGATTTGTCAGTGTTTGGAACTTCTTTGAACTCCGGCGGGTGGTAGAGGGATAACAAAAATAAAACTTCTGAAATTTTTAATACGAAGAAATCTCAAAAAAATTAAACTTCATTTTGCATTATGTAATATTTATTAAACTGTCAATATATGAATATCATAAATACAATGGTGAATTAAAACTTAAAAAATCAATGTTTTTAGTTAGAGAATACTTAGTGTATCTGATGCATATTATTATCAAAGTACAAGAATCAGAATTAAGGGAGATGATAAGAAGTGTTGATTTTCACCCTTGTAATTGACATCCAGAGTTTGCATATTCACGTGCATAGTTCCGCTCTGGACCTTAATTTGAAGGCTCTCTTTGGCACTTATTCTACAAATCTAATTTGTGTAGCGCTGTAAAGTTGGGGTCACGCATTTTCTCGCCAATCATCACTTTTTTTCTGACCTCTAAAGAGATGGAAAGTAGCGGTTGGCTAACTGATGCCTCCTAAACAAAGATTTGAGATAATTTCAAAACATATCGGCGTTTACATGGTATTTGATATTTGGTTTAGTAAATAAACACTTGTCAATTATCTTGTTATAAAGATAAGCGAGCATCTGACCTTTTCTGATCAGCGTATGAATAACAAATGAATGCTTACCTCGACACTTAATTCACTTCCTTTACAAGTGTTTTAGGTGAACTTGGAATTATTATCAAACCCTAGCCTTCATTCATTAATTGTTTTTTATATATCTGTATTTCATTTAAATCAAGCCATTCTCAAGAGGAAAGTGTTCTCAAAAAAGTAAATTTATCATGGCTGCTTCAAAAAAAAAAATTCATTGCTTTAGTGAAATGCAGTCTGCGTGCAGAGAGCATTTTTGTGCTTGGTCTCTATCAATCCCAAATGAGATCCATCCGTAGCGATACAACCCTAGGGAATTACACAAGACAAAGGGTTTGTGTTTTCATCTTGACAAAAATTGAAATTCGGGCCGCTATGTGCTTATATGTTTGTTGCAAATAAGCTCATTGAAACATAAAAGAGGAGTGTCAAATTATTCCCGAGTTTCGAATAATTTAAAGTCTTCAGTTTTATACTGACATCGCATAAAGGATGAAAAATTATCCAATTGTCCCGTTAGTCAAATTTTGCAGAAATTATTCCTGTCTCCTGCAGCGCAAGAGCACGAAAGAGCTTGATTTGGACCTCGTGGCATTTGGGAAAGCGTTCTGTCGTCTGTTGTACCGAACCTTTGAAAGAAAATTTCACGTTCAAACAGCAGCAACCGTTAGCTCAAATTTAGAAAAATTATGCCTGAAAATGTCATAAATTGTGTAAATGAATGTTATTACGTTAAGTACAGTCTATTTTGTGATTGTTTACAGTGTAATTAAGGAAACCTCAATGAGTATTTTCTCTCCAAAATGACACTCACAGATGTGGACTTATCATGCATTGCTTCGCCAGCATTTTTTACATAGTAATATTAGGGCAATTTTTATAACACTAAAAAAGGAAAATGTGGGTTGCGTTTAAATATTTCGGTGTATGACTTATTAATCGGCATTTCAAAAAAATTTAATAAGATTTACTTACTTTTTTACTGTTATTTCGCACTGTCAGTTTTCTTGATACAGTTGACGCAGTAGATTTCGTACATTTCCACCACACTCCTCACTGACTTGCATGTAGTTATGACACAGTTGAGATTCTCTTGATGGCAGCAGTGAAATAGAACTTTACTGTACCCACCATTGACATTTTGGAAAACCTTTTATGTCTACCTCCTTAATTTAATTAATTCATTACAGTTCTTTAATTATCACTATTTAAATTGTTGCAAAGTCATTTTTTGGTAATAATCAAATTATAGTTTTTTTTTCAAAAGCTTTATTTCTTTCTTATTTATATCTATTATTATTTATCTTGTTTATTATTTTATTATCTTATTTATATCTATTTCAAGAATATTAATTTGTTTTTGACATTTTTCGTGGAAAATTTATCGACATTATTAATGTGGAGACCTACACGCGAATTCATTGTATGTAAAGAGAAGCAATATTTTTTTTAAAAAAATCAGTTTTAAAATTTTGCACTTATATATAGTGTACCTTTTCAGACAGTTTAAAACACTAGTCAGATTACTATACAGTGTGGTTCTTGATAGCTCTGGTCAGGTCTTATGTGTGGTTCTTGATAGCTCTGGTCAGGTCTGATGACCCACAGAATACCCTTGCCAAGATATTACTGATATTCATTAAAATATAACGACTTGCACATTTTCCTTTGGTCCCATGGGATATAGATGAGGTGATGGTACGTCCAAAAATTGCAAACAACTGGCGAAATCTCTCAGATAGGAGGGTTTGTTGGATGAAACTGCATTCCAAATTTTCGAAGCATAATCTTCCTTTTTTTTCTCCAAATGTTGATGTCGAGTTCAGATTTATCTTGGGAAGATCCAAGATTTCGCAAATACTCTCAGATGGAATTCGTGATAATGAAAAATTACTTGTTATCAAATGTTGCATTATACTAAGTAGAAATAAATCAAAATGTTTCTGGGATCCTTTGAATCTTAATAGTTTTATCTTTTTAAAAAATGAAAATATAGCATTAAACTTCACAAAATGATTTTATGTCGCCGACCGGGAATAAGACCACACATAGAAGGCGGGTAAACTAGAGTGCTGAGGTGATTGTTTCTATAAGAGTTGTCATATTTCCCGCTTAAAATAGCTTACAGCCCTTGTGTTTTTTTTTTCTCTAGTGCTCACATAGTGCCACTCTTTTATGTCTGGAGATAAAAACGTTATTCTTCGTTAAAGAAGTGCCCCAAGTCAACCTTTCCCAGAGAGAGTGCAAGCTT